GAAAGAGCAAGGACACCGTTAGACACTGCAACAAACTACGGAGCCAGAAAGATCATGCCACTGACACCCTTTTAATGAAGCCGCCCATGGAAAGCATGCTCCTTTGGGACATCCATTAAAATTGGAACGATACCGCGACGATTGTCATGGGCCCCACGCAAGGATGACACGCACTATGCTGTTTGATATTGGGGTTGGGTAGATCCAGAGTACCAGAGTGCAGGCCAATCCAAGAGTAATGATTCGGATCATATGTATTCGAACTCGAGAAATGGCACAAAGATATGCAGGGCCGAATGCAACTGAAATTGGTTCAAACAAGCTGGGCCCCGCACTGCGCTGCTGCACTCGCCAAAGCAGGCCATCAAAGAATTACATTTGTCCATCGCGGAAACAAAGCTCCGTCCATTCATTTTCCACTTGGAGACCTGCCTGGCCCTATCTATTCTCTCAATATTTGACTAGGGCCCCTAGATAAGGTGACTCCGGAAAGCGCCACATCCAATGCACATAGTACCATGCCCCTGTGAATTCATAAGGTCACCCACAAAGTGCCACACCCACCCAGTTAGGACCACACACAGTAACCACACCCCGCCCACATAGTACCACACCCAGCCCGCTTAGCACCACAACCACCCTACCTATTAGTACCACACCCAGCCCACATATTGCCACACCCAACCCACATAGTACCACGCCCAGCCGGTATAGGACCACATCCAACCTACATAGTACCACACCCAGTCGTTTGATAACAGCGCATTCTCGCCCATAGCAGCCAGCCCACAACGCACCACACCAGCCCATAGCCTACCACAGCGCACCCCACCCAGTGCCCATTGTACTGCACACAGCCCATATTGTACCATACCCATCTCACATAGTACCAAACCCAGCCCACATGGTACCACACGCAGCCCACATACTAGTGCACCCAGCCCACATACTAGTGCACCCAGCCAACGACAAAGTACTGCACTTAGTCCTCATAGAACCACAGCCCAGCCCACATAGTATCCCGCCCAGCCCACATAGTGATCCACCCAGCACAGACAGTGCCACAGCAAGCCTGCACAGTACCACACCCAGCCCACAAAGTACCCGATCCCACCACCATAGTATTGCACCCAGCCCACATACTACTGCATCCAACCCACATATTACTGAATCAAGCCCGTAGTACCAGAGCAAGCCCACGTAGCACTTCACCAACCCACTGCTCACTGCACGCGCCTCACATTGTACAACACCCACCACGAGCCAGACTGCAGCTCGCAGTATACCACCCAATCCACATAGTACCACCTACCCCACATAATACCTACCACCTGGCAACCACCACATCGTACTTATCCAACCCACATAGCACTACCCACCCCACAGAGTGTCCCCGACCCAGACCGCAGCTTGCACAATACCACCCAGCCCACATAGTACCACTTAACCCACATAGCGCCAACCGGCCACCACCACAAATAGTGCGGCACAGCAAGACCATGCGGTCGACATAGTACCACCCAGCCCACATACTTCGACCCCGGCGGCATAATACCACCTAGTCCACATAGTACCACCTAGCACACATAGTACAACCTGCCCCACACACTCCTATGCACCCTCAACAATACCAACTGCCGCAACTGCCCCGCATAGTACCACAGCACCAAGCCAGCCACATTGTGCCACACATCGCGCGTAGTACCCTGCTGACGTAGTACCACGCAGTGCACACATTGCCCAGACCCCCATAGCACCCAGCACGAACACCCCAAAAGAAAAAGAAAACAACAACTATGTGGACCCCCATAGCACCCAGCACGAACACCCCAAAAGAAAAAGAAAACAATAACTATGCGGCCCTTACGGCTGTGTTCCCCTTACCCCCCCGCAGTTAGTCAATAGATCCAATCCCCCTGCTAGTGGAACCTCCACCCTGGTTTACCTGCTGCTGTATTGCCTCGGGGCCTCAGGCATTGGGCCCATTGCAAATGGAAGTTCTTTCTTGAAAAGAAAAACAAAATCCATTTTGTTTATGTTATTTTAACTTTTCTTTCCTTCTTCAAAGAAACACTTTTCCATTTCTAGGCCCAGAGGGCCCAAGTCAAACATAATTCTGGGCCCAGAGGGCCCACGGCAAACACAATTGTGGGCCCAGAGTCCAAGGCAAACACGAAGTCAAAAACGTCCAACAGGAGCTGAGACTGACAAGGGTGAAAAGCAGGCAGAGGATTTCAGATAAGCCAGCCATAGTCATAGTCAAGCAATATGAATCCGACCTGTGGAGTAAAAGAAAAGAAAGAATCACTTACATCCAACCGGGCCAGCTCGAGCCGCCTTTTGATGACATAAAGTACAATCTCGTTTAAAAGTCCATTGTCCGCGGCCTCAACGATGTTCTGCACTCAACAAAGACGTCATGCCTGTGACAAACTTCAGAAAGATGTATATTTGACTTCAGCACGCAACAGAGATCTGTGCATTTAAAAAGTCTCACTTAACTCGCATGTAACAGTTACAACCGTCTTCACCCAATAGAACACCCAGTCGTTATCGATTTGTGTAGACCTTTAGACTGAAATTGGGCTAAAGCAGCTATAATGACCAGGCGTCCTATTCAGGTGAAAACAGTCCGTTGCAAACTGCTTCCTCCTCCTCCTAATCATAGAATCCATCACACAACCTCATCCGCAGCGCCAAGCAATCAACAGGGTCATTGTATCTCATCCGCAGAGACAATGTCTTTCCTCCAGTGTTAGGGCGTACTCACACTAGCTCTATCTCAAACGTGTCTGGCCGCATTTACAGCCGGACGTCAATATATCAGACCGTAATCACGTCCACAAATAAGTAAAGAAGTCCTAATGTGAGTATGCCCTTA